ATATACAAACATACACGCATGCATACATACATACGTACATACATACATACATATATACATATATAAATACATACGTACATACATACGTACATACATGCATACATACATTCATTCATACAAATATACATTCATACATACATACATACATCCATGTATACATACATACATAACTACATCATACATACATATATATACATACATACATACATACACACACATACATATATATCTTCATATATACATTTATTCATACATGCATACATACGCACATATTTGCGTACATATATGCATGTTTGCCTACCTGCCTGCATACGTATATATACATACATACATATATATGTATGCATATGCATATACATATATATATGTGTATACACAGACACAGACATATATATATGTCTGTGTCTGTTTATATATATATATCAATATATTAATATATGTATACATGTACATATAGGCATAAACACACACATGTATGTTATATATATTATTTACAATATACATGTTCATATACCACACATCGATATGCAATACATCTCAATATAGATACATATATAAATATTTATGGTTAGTGAAGCCTTTGTATTTCGAAGCATAGTTTATTCGAAGCAAGCTGTGGTGATGGTACCTATGCGAGGACGCAGCTGCTAGACTTGAGCAGCAGAATAGAAAAAGGGGCATTCTTCGGAGTGCATATTATCTCATTTTCCATAAAGAAGTAACGTCGGGTCTGTTTATAAATCCAACAATTCCGCTTGGATAGAATCGGCGTATCTCAGACGATTCTGTGCGATCCGTGTCTCGTTATCCAATTCCATGCTCATGCTCATCCCGCCTTTTCTCGGACCACTTGGTTGGATATGGTTCAATGCCCTGGCATACGGAGACACTCGCAATGATTGCTGGGGTGCCCCGCTCATCGAGTTGTATCTGGTTCTACCGCCCTGTACACTTTGCGGAGAATCGTGTGCAAATCTACCATCAGACCGGGAGCTTTCCATACTGGGATGGCGATAGTTATTCTCAATGCGATCCGCGGGCCCAGCAGGGGAGCGCATGCGCGCGTTGTAGCTTTCATCATATCCTCTCTCCATGGCGTGCGATGAGTGGATGGTATTTAAATGTGGGGCACGCTGTTGATGGAGGCGCTCATCTTCATGTCGGCCGCGCCCAGTTATTTCTCTTCGCCGCAATGCTGTTTCTCTGCATGATATATCTGATCCGGATGCTGAGGAATCTTTACCCTCTCGATCGTCTCGTATGTAGTCTCTTGGAATGGCACGCATGGGTTCTTCGTCCCGTGTATAGAAGCTACGTGCGTAGTTTTCGCGGTATCGAGGGGAGGTAGGTACACTATCTCTCCCCGACGGGATTCTAGCGCTATACATTCGGTCATCGCCAGCGTTTTCCAGTTGCTCTGGATGCCCGCGTGTTAAGGTACGAGAACATGGATCAGAATCTCGATGGTCATAGTCCAACGGCGGTCTATTTCTTTCTCTGTGCTGCGCGTTTCCACGATAATCGTCCGCTCGCATACCTGGAGACTCTCTATCTTTGTATAGAAACTCTGCCGATGATACACGCCTTACATCTCTTTCGTTGGATCGACGTCGCCAGGCATCTCTCTCATGTTCTTGTAGTTCCCGCACCTCACTGCGATTGTCTTCCTCGCGAAGGCCACGCTCACGATACTGTTCCATGCGGTCGGTTCGGCCACGCTCGACACTGTGCTCGCGAGCACTATCAACATACCGAGACCCGTTCCTAGAAAGAAATCTATCTCGATTGTTTACATCTATATGGTCATCATCACGATGCATACGTGATGCACGTTGAATAAGCTCTGCTTTACGATCTTCGCAGCTGGATTTCAATATACTTAAGATGCCGGCATGTTGATTATCTTGGACGTGTGATTCTAACTCTTCTCTAGCAACCTGATAGATTTGGCAATCATCTCCTGCGGCCACGTATTCAAACGGGCTAGGTACGCTATAAAACATCCCCAACTCGCCGAAAAACTCGCGTTCTCTGAGTTCCTTGATCTTTATACCACTATCATATACGTCACATGCGCCATGTACAATAAAGTATACGTCCGTACCCATATCGTTGACGGGAAGGATTATCTCCCCGCTTCTATAACGTTTGCGTTGTGGTTGGAAAAGCGCACAAGCGGCGAAAAAATCTTCCATGACAGTATTATAGTGAGAGCTACTATATACACCACGGCCATCTTGTCTATTATCCACTGGCATGCCAGCGGAATGCTGCCTAGATGATGCCCGATTTACATGAACCGCGCTATTATCAAGTTGAGAACTAGTTGTACGCCCAACAGTGGCGCTGTGAACTATCTCACCTCTTGGGTACCTGCCATCTTCGGATGCAAATGAAGGCTTCCGCTGCAGAGCGCGATCAGCATCGTGTCGCATAGAGGAGGGCACCATGACTCTATCTACAGGTTGCTGAGTTCGTAGTACATAACGAGAGTCGGGGGAAATGGCTCGTTCATCTGCGGAGTGAGAGTGCTTGTGACCGCTATTTTGCTTTGCGTAATGTACCGTCAAGTCACCGACTACAGGAGTTGAGGATCGAGGATCTCGGCTTGTATAACCATACCCCTGGGACCTTTGGTCTACCTCGAACATACTGACAGAGTGTAATCTGAATACAATGTAAGTGCACAGTCGGAAGAGGTGCGTGATAAACTAACGCTTGCACATAAACCTTTCTTAATCGTAAACTATCTGAAGCTGTGTTTAACTCATAACGCCAAAGTGACCCGTCGTCCCCCTTCTCGCATTAGTTTAATTGTGAAAGAACTTTTTCTGTGTCCCAAATACTTCTGTGAGTCGTTCTCGTCAGCCGTTGAGGCTTTGAGCTCGCTCACTTGAGCATGACCGTAGACAAATGGAAAGTAGCATTTCAAAGGATAGTACTGTTTTTACCGTGTAAATTGTAGCAATTTCCCTTTTTTTTTGGAACTTCGATTTTTAAAAAACAAAAAGTTGAAAAGCAGATGTTTTCACCTGTATTTTAGAGATAAATAATATTTTTCTTCTTTTTTGCACAAAAAACACCTGTTTTTGTATGTTGTGTCGCCTCTGCGCCGGTGGCCGGTGGCTCTTTTGACGTATAATATGTCCGTTGTGTAAATATAAATAAAAACAACATATAGGAAACAATAAAAAATTCTCGAGGAGTCCTAGTTTTTGATTTTGAAATCTGTGTAGAATTTCAGTTCATTGGCTGCGACAAACGATGTTTTCCTACTGGTCTAATAATGATATCAATAATATTTTGATTGATCCTTGTTTATGAGTGGTGGGTTAAAGTTGCCTCTCCGACCAAGCTGCAAACTCTTAAGAGAGTTTAGTTAGGTTTATGGCCGATAGGCGAGCAAAAAACCGGAGGTTATTTTCTAGTTCGGATTTTGGATCTGGATCTGTCAGAAATTTCTTGGAAATAAATAAAAAGGCAAAGCAATATTTAAATTAAAGTTATAGACTCATATTCCATATTCAATTTCATTCGAGTATAGTTAATTCGAAATGAGCCATTAAAATACCATTCTACTCTGCTATCTGTATTTTATAGAAATCACGACTAAAAATTAATACCACGCAGAGTCGCAGACAAATATTTTCAAGTTAGAATAATACGGACTTCTCTCAGTTCGTTCAGTACTGGTCAGTGACGTGGTCATTGATCAGCAATATATTTTATAAATAGTTTTGTAAGTAATAATGTACTATCTACTTCGAGAGAGAAAGGAGGCTGTGAGCAGTGAGCAGTGAGCCTGAGATGGTCGTGAGATTATGACGCAGTTCCAGTGTCGCAGTGAATCGGTTGTGGGTTGTAAATTGTTTGGCGAAAAATAAAAAATAAATCCGACGGAAGGTCAATCGTTCGAGGGACAGAACGTTTAATTAAGTACTCTCGGTGACTTATTCACTGCGCGCGTGCCTAACCGTTCAAAGTTGTTCTCTTCAGGTAAACCCGGTATAAGACCTATTTATGCAATGCGCTATAACTTGCTATATGTGCATATTATGAATAGTCGACAAAGACAATCGATCTCTGTCAACTGAAGAATACAGTTTTGTCGATCACATCCACTTCTATCTCGATGATACGAATCACGATTCTCATAGCAGGTACAAAACGAGATGGGTACATGTATAAACCTTGCTTATCACGTGCATGTCAATTTTACCAAGTGAATAGGATATGTAATGTCCGTTTTCAGACGACCTTGTGCACTTTCAGAATTTAAAAAGACTTAGGAAATCGAATAAAAATCATAGATAGTATATCTACATGTTAGTTTGTTTCTATGGCCTTCCCATAGCGGGTGTTAAGCAGACATTCTAAATATTGTCAACCACAATCGCGGGTAAAATTTTATGTGCAACGACAGCAAAGGTGAAAGATCCTATCCACACACCATAACATCTGGAATCGCATCACAGTGTTCTGTACGAAAGAACATACCCTAAAATTGGCCTACTACTCAGCGATAAGCTTGGAAGTATGTAGTTTTAAAAGTGGTACGATAAACGTCGTTAGACGTGAAGGCATTTTTTTTGCCTCTCGTAGACCTTGGTTATTTATATCGCGTAGTCGAGTTACGTGAACAGTATTTTTCAAAGTATGGAAGTGCATCGAACTTATTAAAATTATTTTTGCTGTTGTAAAAAGTTAAAAAATATATTGGCAAGTATATGTTCTGACCATTTATATTCTTTAAAAAAAAAATCAATTATAGTTCTCTTGATGTAACATTTACATTTGTCTATATTTTTTTAATACTAAATAGTCAAGAGGACAGTAAAGCCAGAAGAATGAAGAATTGAAGATATAATACTGGAGTCTGGATTCTGAAAATAGCACATGGTTGCGACCTTTATTATTTTAAAAAAATAGTTAAAGCATATATTTACCAACCAAATTGTGCAAATTGCAAGTTGCAAGTTGCAACTAGAGTTGCAAATTGCAAGTTGCAAATTGCAAGTTGCAAGTAAAAGTTGCAAGTAATATATAAAAAATTGCAACTTGCACTACACAACAAGTGCTTCAGGCCTCCAGCCTGCACACACATCAAGAGAGAAGAGAGAGAGAGAGCCGAGGGCCCGAGGGCAGAGACTGCATGCAAGTTGCATGTTGTAACTGTTGCAGCTTGCAAGCCTTGTTTGCATGGTGGATTGATTTCGCTCTAAAGAAAGTACTCTAATTAATTTGGCTATTAAAATTGTAAATACCCCGACATCAATTTATGTGTTGTTACTGTTTTTGCTCAGTCATTTTCGATTTTCAAGATTTTTATATCTACTGGATGCACTCTGAGAGTTGCTGAATAGATGCAAAATAAAATAAAATACGCGTCTGTTTGCTGTTTTGGCAGTTTGTGAATGAAACACAGATGCATACATTCTCAGTAGTCAGTCCTCACTGTATGAAAAAGTAACTGTTCTACTCTCGTGTTCTTGTTACTCTGAAAATTAAAGTGTACCCTTTCAGAAAAATAATAATATATACAACTGAAAAAAATTCATTTTTAAAAACAAATAAAAACAAAAACAAAAAACAACAGCAGGGAATAGGGATAGCTAAATACGTGATGTGTGATGGTGCCACCGGGCCATAAGCCCATATTTAGCGGCTGACATCACACAGAATCCTTTTTGGTTTTTCTATGTGTATACAACCCCCCCCCCCCCCGCACAACTATGAAATATTTAGAGAAAAAATATGGCTGAAGTGGCTGAACGGACAAATCGCTATTGAATCAGTAGCCAGATAAAGCTATGTATATCCCACGTATGATACGTATTTGTTTTCGTGGAATAAATACTTTTGTTGAAAAAAATAAAACAACAGAAGGAAAACGAAACAAACAATAAAAATAATTGGGAGGTTTACCTATTTTTATAAAGAAAAGAGAAGTAGGATACTCCGATACAGTAAATCTTTATGGAAATACTGAAGTTCTTTGGAGTTTTGTTTTGTAAAGACGACAACAAAAAAACATAAAAACAATAGTGAACTTCAAGTGGTCATAATAATTGGGTTGTAAAAAAATGTCCCAAAAAAGGAAAAAAAACACAAGAGTCCATGACCCTCTATAAAAATGAATAAAAGTATAAAACAGAATACCAAGGCAATATATTTACATAGGCAGAATGTTTTTGAAAAAATAAATCATATACTGTATACAGAAAAACAAAAACCGGGTTGTACTTCAGCCGGGAGACGGGTGGTCGCCCGTCAGTCCGTCAGTCACTCTCTGACAGACGTTAGTCGGTAGTCCGTCACGTATTTATTTGTTTTGTTTTAAAAAACAAATATCTTTTCCTCGAATTCGTATAATCTACTCTTTAGACTTGTTGTTTGTTAAAAAAAAACAAAAACAAAACAAAACAAAAACAAGTTCAGGAGAAGTCAAGAAGTCGGGACTTGCAAAAAGTTGTATTTAGCTCAAGAGAGTCTAAAATTGTGCACTAGCCACTGTTGCAGGCTCTTGCAGTAGTGCAGAGAATATTGCAGAGTCCGCCTTCGGCAGCAGGCAGCCAGGCAGACTCTTGCAGTTTTGCAGTTTGACATACTCTCCTCTTCGCTGCAGACACTGGTGATTTGTGACTTGTTATTGCACTGTATCAAATATGTCTGTGTTTAATGGGCTGTTTATTTATAGAATCATCTAAATATGGGTCTTGAATAGGTAGGTATATGCCCTAAGCCGTACCTATCAAGAAACATAAAAAAGGCAAAAAATATAGTAAAGCACTGCAAAAACAAGAGGTTGTTTCATTGGGCGTCATATTTTTTTAAGAGGAGGCAGCTTATAGCCTCCAAATTGAACAGACAACTGTAAAAAAAAAAGGTTCAAACTTCAGCTTTATACAAACACAAAAATGTGTAGTGTAATAAAAAAAATAAAAAACAGCAAAACAAAACAAAAACAAAAGCGAAAAAACAATTTGTTTTCAAAAATATACTGGACTTCTGCGCATCTATTTTATTTCGTTTAAAAAAAAAGTTTCCGTTTTGTAATTATAGCAAAAACCAAAAAGACAAGCGAACATTAGAGGTTGTTCTTAATTTTTTAAAATAGAGCGATAAAAGGAAATAACTAAATATTTAATTAAATACAATCAGCAACTGAAGCAAAATATCGTAAATACGAGTTTCTGTCGCAGAAGCAAAATATCGAATGAGTTTCTGTTTATTTGGCCTCACTAGAGTCTCACATCATGGTATTCTTTGTTAGTGCTATATATTCAGGATTACGCTCGTCGATTTTGAATCCCATCTTTTCGTACAGTTGCAACTGTTCCACAAAACCAGAGTTGGGTTCAATATAAGGCCTGGCAGCATGCACCTTGTCATACGCCTCTTCGTATGAAATCTGGATAGTGAAAGTTAGTGATTGGTTACAGGTATGTATATTAAGACAGGGCCAAGAATGCCACTAGTTACATCGCCCATGATCAGACGGTTCGTAAAAAAAGAAAGCTTCCTACAAATTTAAATCCTATCTAATTCCTTTTTAAAAGAGAAGTTCCTATCATGTCACACTCTGAACAAACGAAATGCAGACAAGAACCATGTGACGGATTGATGAAGTTAATATACACGCGCTCGTGTATAAACATACCAGCGGACAACACAGGCACATGAAGGAAAACGGCAAACTTTACCTTCTTTTCGTTCATGACATTCGCTATTGTGAACGCGGCACTGCGCGAAACGCCGTACTGGCAATGTATCAGCACACCTCCTTTCCTCCGGCCCTCATAGATAAATTTATTGCCGCGGTCAAAATAACTGATCAGGTTCTGTTGAGCGGTATCCAAGCACTTTATGTGCTCATAGGTGAATGACTATAGGGTATAATCGGGAGATTGTGATGCAGGTAGGATATTAGCAGTTTGATATAATGGTAAAAGAAGATAACTTCAACAATTCCGGGCCAAACACCACCAACCACGGTTGATATATCAACGAAAGGTTACAAAAGAAAACATAACTCATACGGAATGTAATCATGCAGATAACATCATTCAGGCAGGTGACAACATACACTACAAAGTATCACGTCCATCGTTTGAACGATACACATTCGCTGACTATCTTATCACCCGACACAGGACAGATTCGAGAAACCCTTGTCTGTTGCAAAGTCAAGTCGACAATACACCATCACAAAGGCAGACGATAACTTACATCGGGGAAGTATTGCTTCAGCATCGCCCCTGCTACAAATATGTGTGTAATGTTGTTTTCCTTCAAAAATTCAAGATTCGCGGCCGCCCTGTTGTGTGACAGTGATTCAAAAAAACAAGTGGGGAGTTAAGAGCTTGACAGACATCTATGTAAGTACATTGATGCCGAATTCTCTTAGCGATTTCTGAGGTACCACACACAGTCACAGACGGCAGCATGTATGTACCTTGGTGTAGATTGTCCTTAACAAGGCCTAAGGTAATCCAATTCACATACCGTCACATATACAAAAAAAGGTCAATGGTAGGTACATCTGAGCACATCTAATAATACGTTGGTGCCGAGTCTCCCCAGCGAATCCTCGATAGTAAAGTGCGTACCAGAATCAACACACATGCTGCTGTAAACAGTAAATGTGTGACACTAACTCGACAGAATGGCTACAGAGCTGTACACACCAACAAGCGCAAACCCATTGTAGAACGCAGGATGGTGCTTTAAATGTCTAATCACATTCTTTTGTCCATCGATCTCCTAGTTTACCTACACAGAGTCAAAAGTCCTGCAAAGTACAATACCCCACACATAGCGCACGTATGCATCAACACGAACGCACACATGGTCACACACGTCGCCGGTACGACAGCGCAGGCCGATAAAAATTCAGAACCACTACGAAGCACCATATAAAGTAACATACGTGACGCCTCCAATGAACAACCCCGGGAACCCTTCTACTTCCTGTGCCGAATTATATTGCTGTGTATTCGGTAAGGTACAAAGAGGTATTAAATATCAGAAGCTACTCTGGGCTGGATTATGTGAGAAGGTGACTAGTAGAGTATAGGAAGGTACTACACACACACCACACACACACACACATATATATATATATAGATATCGATATATATAGATTTAGACATATCTATATATGGACATAGACAATACCATATATATATATGTTATATACATATACACTTACAAATATATGCACATCACCAGACAGACACACTGGAAACGACACCCAAACAAACATGAAAATAAAACGCATATGCTTATAGATGGGCCCTAACTCAAATGT